AACTGGTCCATAGCTCAGGAACTAGTCCACAACTCGAGAACTGGTCCGCAGTTCGGGAACCGGTTCACGATTCGGGAACTGGTCTGTGGCTTGCTGGAACCAGTCGACGACTCGGGAACTGGTCGGCGGCTCATTGGGAACCAGACAGCGCCTGGTTCGGCTGAGCCCAGGAAGTGTGGGATTAGGTTGCACGCAGGAACCCATCCCCTGTTACCGCCGTGGCCAGTCCACGAAAAGATCGGTGACCCCCCCGGCACGGGGGGGGGGGGGGAGAAGGCGGACGCTCCCGAGATCTCTCTCTGTCCCCTCGACCGACCAACTCCTTCCTTTCGTCATCTTGCAGGTCTCAGGAGGGTAGGCACTGCTACCGACAGCTCGTCCGGACGGGGCCCTCCTGCGGAAAACCCGGGGTTTCCCCACTCCGGCAACGAGGCAGGCGTGGACAACGGGCGGCCCCCTCCTTCGCTGTGGACTTGCGTGTGACAAGCAGCCTCGTCGGCGAGGCTTCCGGGACCCTCCTTGTAGGGCCGGGCATGTATGCTTCTTGGGGTGGTGGTGGGGGGGGGGGGGGGGGGGGGGTGGGCGCCGGGGGGGTTGGTGTGGGGGGGGGGGGGGGGGTCTCTCTCGGGGGTCGAGAGATAGCGGCGGGAAGAAGCTATTCTCTCCCCCCTCCTCCATCTGGAGTTTGGCGAGGGGAGGAAGGGGGTAATAAATGTTTACAGAAGTGACAAAAGATCCCCGTGGCTCTCTATGGGAGTGGAAGGAAGCGGGGGAGGGGAGGGAGCACAGAAATGCCCTATCTTTGTCCTTTTGGGGGAGGGGGTCTCGATGCCAAAGTGCGGAGCGACGACGACGACGCGCTGCCACTCGCGCCGCGGAGGGCCGTCGGGATTCCGCCGATCGCCCTCGGGAGCGAAGCTTCGAAAGAAATCCCCGAGATTTCTTTGGGGCAACAGGTGCGGCCTTAGCCAGTTCCGGAGTAGGTCATTTCCAACGTCCCGTGACGCTGTTTTCCTCCCTCTCCCGGGTGCGTCGTAAATCAGATGCTCCAACGACGCACGGTTGACTGTCAACCATCCCATTGTCCAATGAAGGGTTTTCCCGGGCGGAAGATTTCGGTAGCTTAGTTACGACCTTTTGTAAGAGAGGAGTTGGAATGGACTTCTGGTTTTGAGCTGCCTGGCTCCTTCCTATTTCCTCCCCGGTTTATGGCAACTCTTTAAACCAGCGTGGGAGTGCTTTACGAGTTGCCGGAAGGGAAAGTTCTAGTTGGCTACGGTTCGGATGCTGGGATTGCGGAGGGAGAAAGGAAGAATCCGTTCCTCTTAAAGCCGCCGAGATCCTCCCTTAACGGCCGTAACATTTCTCCTGGAAGCGACTCCGGGGAGAAAGCGGGATCGATTCCCCCCACCCACCATCGCTCCCCCTCTTCCCGGTTTTGCTCCCTGGCGGATTGAACACGTCAGAAAGCAGGGATAATGGGTAGAGCTTAGTCCTCAGGTTACGAGCACAAGTTGAGCCCCCCAAATTCCTCTCGCAAAGCGACACATTTGTGAGGGGCGTTCCGACAGCTCTCCTGGATGCCGTTGCTAAGCGAAGCGTTGCCTTGGTTGAGTTTGGCCGCACAGGTCGTTAAAAATGAATCTCGACTTCGCCAGTTAGAGGGTGGGATAATGGGGCTCCGGGACACGGCAACTGCCATCAATACGAACCAGTTGCCAAGCATTTGGATTTTTGATCCCGTAGCCCCACGGGGACACTGCGACGGTCGTAAGTGCGAAGGTTCTACATCCCTTTTTGGGGGGGGGAGGGGACTTTGGTCACTAAACGAACTGTGGTAAGTCGAGGACTACCTGTTACCCTAGGAGGGGAAACTCCCAACAGCCTGCTTGTTGCAAAACGGGTCACCCACGCGACCGACCGGATTTTACTATAGGTTTTGGGGACGGTCGTTAAATGAATCTGTTGCGGAGGGGCGCGGTGGCCTAGAGGCAGACCTCTTGCCTCCCAATCAGGAGGCCGTGTGTTCAATCCTAAGTTAGAGGCCGATAGTTTTCTCTCTCTCTCTCTCTCTCTCTCGGTGCAATGAGAATCTCTTTGCCGAACAAAACTCCAGACTGGTGACAGGATGAGCATCCGGCCATGAAATACTCGGCGAGCTCCATTCAGTTGCCCATGCTCCACCCCACAAGGGATTATGGGGTCGTTAAAAAGGGTGATGATGATGTGGGGTTTTTTTTGAGGGGCACCGGGGGCGGTTTTTTGGGGGGGGGGGGGGGGGGGTGCGGGGGGGAGGGGGGGGGGGGTTAAGGCGCGGGGGGGGGGGGGGGGCGCTCAGGGCTCCGTCACGAGGCAGCTTTTCCGCCCCTGCTTGGAGAAAGAGAGACTCCGGATGCGCGACGCCACTTCTTGCGTGCGGAAGGTCAGGCCGAAGATGTCCTCGTGGTAGCGGTTTTGATCCTAGGAGGAGTTGTGGGGGGGGGGGGGGGGGGGGTGGGAAAGGGGTCGAAGGACAGAGACACAAGTGGGCCCCCGAGAAAGCAGAGGGCCAGCCACCTCCCACAACGACGCGAGGCTGAGCCTCTGCCCCCCACCCCCCACCCACACACACCCTCCCATCCGCCGTACCCGCAGTTCGCTGATGGTGTCTCCCGCCTCGACCAGCGACATCCTCCCTTCCTGCGCCAGGATTTGCTGGATGGTCTGCAGCACCCCTGTGGCCATGGTGACGTCGCCGCAGACGTAGACGTGGCCCTTGCGCAGCCTCAGCACCTCGAAGACGTGGTCGGCCAGGTGCAGGCGGAGCAGGTCCTGGACGTAGGTCTGGAGGGAGCAGAGAGAGAGAGAGCAAGTGCGGGGACTTGCTCCGGGATCGCCCACCGTCCCGCCGCGACGTAGACCCTCTTCCTGGCACCCGAGGGTCGCCTCCGAGAGGGCCGGGGAAAGCAGAGAATGAGCAAGTGCAGGGACTTGCTCCGGGATCGCCCACCGTCCCGCCGCGACGTAGACCCTCTTCCTGGCACCCGAGGGTCGCCTCCGCGAGGGCCGGGGAAAGCAGAGAATGAGCAAGTGCGGGGACTTGCCCCGAGATCGCCTGCCATCTTGCCGCGATGTAGACCCTTGAGGGTCGCCTCTTAGGAGGGACAAGTTTTGGGGGTCTTGTCCGCGGCGATTCGGGACGACTTAGGAGCTACCCGGGGATAAGATGGGGAGGAGGTGGGTTCATACAACGGACAGGCCTACCTTGGGGTAATCGGGGTCACGCGAGAAGCCGGTGAGGACGCGGTGTAAAGCCCCCGCCTCCTGAGCCTCTTGGATCTCCTCGCAGTAGATGTGGTCGTGCTGCGAGCTACGGCAGCCGAAGACGAGGGTCATCTCGCCGGTGGGCGGGCCTGGAAGGACAACAGTAGACTTCAGGAAGGCATTCGACAGAGTAGAGTCGGCAATCGACTTCTTGGAAAACGATAAAAATGGGGGGTGGACAGCATCGCCACCAGGTGGGAGTTGTAACTGCCTGACAAACTGTACTCCATCAGTCGTCCTTAACGGCACTACGTCTACAACGGAGGGAAGGAAGCAGTGGCCTACCACAAGATTCCGCCTTGGAGCTAGTACTCTTCAATCGATATATCTCTATCTATCTATCTATCTATCTATCTATCTATCTATCTATCTATCTATCTATCTATCTATCTATCTATCTATCATCTCTATTATGTATATCTATCTCTCTATCTCTCTATCTTTCC